AGAGTTTCCGCTTGGTTTCAATATCACAGCCTCACAGAGATTAATGTTTTATTTTCTAAACGAATGCAGCAAAGCCCAGCATATCTGGAACTAGTCAGCCGCAGATAATCTAACTTTCCACACCATCTAACCAACGAGCATGTGTCAAGAAAATGGGGAAAAATGCAAGAAAGCAAATCATTGCCAGACAAAAAAAGACAAGATTAGTGAGTGATCAAGCAGGTCACCCAGAAACTGATCCACATGTGCACCTTTAAATTGCTCTCAGTGGTTCTGATGCACTTTATCTGTGGAAGTCTTGCACATGCAAATCTAATTCCCACCACTTCAGACCCAACTCCCATCTCTACAGCACTTTTCTGTGTGCTGAAGCCAGTGACTGACAAATGTAAAATGACGTAAGTGGCATAAAACATGAATATGTGCTGCACTTTTAATTTTCCAAGTCTAACCATGAATTATATAAAAAGTGACACTGTATCAGCATTAGCTAAAAGTAGGTCACTCTAGAACTCGGGCTGTGTTGACAGTTGGGGAAAAGACACATGAAGCTACTTTTTGTCTCCAGGTACTCACTGTTAGAGCAGCTGCTGAGCTCTGATCTCATGGGAGAGAACAAAGCTGTCTTCTTCTGACCTTTCACTTTCCGGGCAGCGTCTGAAGCAGAAGCCTTAGAAGCCATCTTGTGTTTTCCTGCTTTGACCGAGGAGTGGATTCCTCTCTCCTTGAGTCGACTTTCCACAGACTTGCTCTTCGACTTCTCCGATTTCGTGTTGGAGGTGAATTTGCGTGATGCGCCGAGAGAGCCGAGCTGCGAGAGAGAGAGCGCTCTGTCGAGGTCTGACGCCAGCTGCTCCTGCTCACATAGGAGGCCGCGCTTTGCCTTTAGCACCTAAGACCATCACCATAGACTCATCATTAATTATACGAGACCAGTCGCATTACCCTACTGCCAAAAAAAAAAAATGCACTTCCAGGTAGCCTACCTCCAGCGGATGACTAGTAGATGGCTCCGTGTCATTCCAGCTCTTCTTTTTCTTCTTTTTCACTTTCAAGCCTCCACTTCCTGCTTCTGTCTCCTCTTCTTCTCTGGACACCCGGAACTTCTTCCTCTGTCCTTCCCCTGCTTCAGAATCCTCCGAGTATTGCACCGCCCGACCCACCCTGGGACAGAAATATCCACCTTTGCTGAATATGCATATAGAAAAGCATGCGTAAAGGAGAACAAACGGCAAAAGTCAGCAGCAGATTACATTTGTGGGTTCACTCACTTTCCAGGCCTGCTGTCCAGTTTGGTAGGTGTGGCCAAGTGCTTCCTCTTTCTAGGTCGCCCTCTACCCCGTCTGGTTAGACTGCGCCTCTCATCTTCCTGCAGCTGGCGCTCACTGACACAACAAAACAATTTTAAGCGTGTGATAGTCCAGGAGCGGAAACATGGGAGCATTTTTCGCACTTTTGTGATTATTTCACGTAGTAGTGACTCTTACAGCAAGTGTGCAAGCAGTGTTAAAAAAAACTTACCGCTTGTCTCTGCGTCGCTGGAGCTTGCTGAGCTCTCTCTGCTTCTCTTTATACGTCTTCTGCAGCTCAGCCAAGCGGACACGGAGTTCCACTTCCATTGTGTCCAACACATCCAGAGGCAGTTTACTGTACAGCTGCAAAGAGAGGCAACGAGGTGAGAAACATTTCCTAAACCGGCTCATTTTCAATTGTGGGCCACACGTTTCTTGATCTTACCGGCTCCTCTTTCCTCTGCCGCCAGCTGTACTTCTTGTTGGGGTCCAGCGTTCTGGGCAGATCGATGTGGGATTGTTTCTCTATGGCCTCCAGAAGGATTTGTTTGCTTGCTTCAAGAAGACAGTCTAGACCCTCTAATGTCACATCTGGATGGGATGCAGAAAAAACTAAAATTAGAGGAGTTCATAAATATAAATAGCTGTTTATTACATCTGTTAGAAACTGCTTACCTTGCTCCTTATGGCTGTTTTCTAACTCTTGCTGAGCCATTTGGCTAAGCAGGGCCATCCCCTCCAGCGCCACCATCTCCATAGGTCCTGCAGTGCTGCAGCTTTCAATCTGTGGTATGAGTGTTGGGGCAGGTGGGGTGATGGATAGAGGATGGACCATCTCACTAGCTGTCAGCAAGGCGAGCATCCCTGCCATGGGATCTTCTGAACTGATGAGAAGTGGAAGTGGAGAGGTAGGGGCAGGAAGTGGATAGAGAGGAGGATCAACAAGACTTTCTTTTGGACTCGGAGCATCCAAGATGACTGGACTGTCTGGCTGTTCCTGTTCACATGAAACGCTGGTGGTTTGATCTAGTGATGCACATGTCTGAGACAGTTCCTGTCTGTCTGAATCTGTGCTGATGCACTCTGCATAATGTGTTTG